ATAGAATCCTGTATATGTATTATTTTATAATTGATTGAAGTTGGCTCTCACAATCAAAAATACAATCAGCAATAATTTTTTTCATAATTGTTACCTGGAATGACTTTCAAAATCTATTTTTCTTCTTTAAAATAAAATCGACGAAAGATAATAAAGTCGATTTAAACAATCTGAAAATTTTGCCTTTGATCAACAAAATAATCGATTGATAGATAGAACACAAAAGTTGACCTTAGTCACGAGAGCCAATAAAGTAGAATTATGTCGATATTTTTTTTACTATTATTATTAATATATTTTTCATTCTCTCCTTCGCCATTATCATCTTCATCTCTTTTTTATTACCCATTCCTGGATCACTTCTATTGTTTTCTTCCTAGGATTCGTTTTTCTTTAGCAAAGTTATTGATGATAGATGCAGCGATACCTTTTCCTTCTCCGTGCAACTCGTGGATTTCAGTTGACATTTTACCAACACTAAATGAAACATCCGAGTTCAGCTCAGCCTTTTATCAAATTAAGGGTTAAGAACCCTCCACAACTTTTCAATTTCTTCCACCAGTAATTAATTTACTTGTTATTTTTTGTTTTAACTTTTCCAAGACCCTATTGTATTAATGTCATGGATATGGGACTTGGAAGTCTTATAATTGAGCAAAAAGCCAAGTAAAATTCCAATAAGTAAATTCGCGGTAAAAGTAATCATTTTATTATTATTAGTGGTGAAAAATATAATGTGGTCAAACGATGATTATTGAAAGATTTTGTAATGAGTGAATTGATGATGGTATTTGTTTATTTACACTGTTCAAATCAAAAACAAAAATTTATCAGAGATTATGATTATATCAAAGTCAATCATATGTATAATAATTTAAATTAATATTAATATTATTAATATTAAATGATTTTGGGATATTAGATCCGATCTATAAAAATAAAATTCCTTCGCCTCTTTGTGATTCCATTTTCTTGACCTTTAACTTCACAAATATTTTCTCTACATCATTCTGGACTTGTGCCGGCTATTTTTGACAAATTTTCACAAGAGAAAAACATATTAAAATAAAGGAAATTTCATTACTTCTTTAGTAAAGAAACAAGAAAAGGTACTTTTGGATAGTATCCTTTATGAGGAAGGCGCTTTATTGGTCAGAGTTACAAGTTGAAAAATCTGCCGTGATTGATGGCACGGCATGTTCAAAAATGATTAAACATTCGTCATCCTTTCTTATTCATTCTTCATATATTAGTGGCAATTCTACAAAATCTATATATACCGGATAACAACTTGCTAGGACACAGATTATAACATGTTTAATTAGTCTTGGTGATTATTGGATTCAGTCGGCTAACACATAATAAATATTGTTACATATAAAATAATATTTTCAGCCAATCAAACTAATTACATAATTTTTCTTCTTTGTAGCATTAATATGGATTTAAATGAGCCAGATGAATCGCAATTGAATTTTCTTAATCATGAAAGTCATAAAAGCAAGTAGTGATGGTGATAACGATGAAGGCTATGAAAAATTTATAAATTCATCAGATTTTAAAACAACTTTAAGTTGTTTTGGAGGTTCAAAGAGTGAAAAGGTTAAAACAACAAGGTTGATATTTCTATCAAAACTAACCGAAAAACTTTGCAACAACAACAACAACAACAACAACAACAACAACAACAACAACAACAACAATAACAACATTATTATTATTTAGGCAAAAAACTTTTGAAATAATATCAAATTGGACAAAAATTCAATCGAAAAAATTGATAAATTATTTGGATATAATGCATTAATGCATTATTATATATATATATATATATAATTTTTATGAATTAGATGAAAAAGTGTTGGACAAGGCAGGTTTGTTCGAAAGAGATGATGGATTGTGTGGAGCTTGAAGATGAACAGGTACAATTAACAATTTTGGAAATCTTGTCTTTGGCTTGTTCACAAAAAATTTTTAGAAGTTTAATTTAATTGCTGCAAATTGACAAGAGTATTTAAAATCTTTGATGATTAGTAAAAATCAGCATCTCAAATCTTTGTCAGCTATTATTTTAACAAAGATTTTCTTGGATGAAAAAACAAACAACAACAACTAAACTGTTAGTAGTATAAATAATAAAAAATTAATAACGGATAAAGATCATGTCACCGCAGAATCAGGACCAGAAGAAGAAAAAGAAGAAATAAAATTAGCAGGATTATTTAGAAATATGGTATTAGATTCTGATTCAAATTATGAAGTACGCAGAAATGCTATTATTGAAGGTTTAGCGTATTCTATATAATACGAAGGCATCAGTCAAAGAAATGATAATTGATCATCACACATTACTAAAAGAGACATTTGATTTCATTTTAAATGAATCAAAAAAAGAAGAGGAAGAAGAAAAAGGAGGAGGAAAACCAACCCTAGATAATTCAATACTTTATGGAATCGCAGTAGTTTTATCAAATATCACAATGTACAGAAAAAAATTAAATGAAACTGAAGAACAAAATTTTAAAGTTAAAGAAATTAAGCGGTGAAATAACAACAAAAGTAAGAATAATGAAGATAAACATGTGGTTAAACGTAATAAAAAATTGTTAGGTATTGGAGTTAACAAAATACTAATCAAATTATCAAAAAATCAAAGTCAAGTAATCAAGCAACTAGTTGTAAATATTTATTTAGATCTGGCAACATATCGATCAAATCATGGATTGATGGTACAACAAGGTGCTATAAAAGCTTTAATTCCATTGGCATCGATGACAACGACGATAACATCGACAACTCCGGCGAAAACAACAATGATAGCAATAAAAGGATCCAAAGAAAATGTTCAACAACTTGCAACGCAAGCATTAGAAAAAATTGCAATCACGATGAATCCGAATTTTGTTTTTAGAGGCGAGCGATCAATCGATTTGGTGAAGCCGTTGCTTAATTCGTGTAAAAGTGAGAGTGAATTATGTCGGCTTGAATCGTTTATGGCCCTGACAAATTTATCTAGCACAGATGATGATATTTGATTACGTATTTATCGACTTGATGGCTTGGGTATAATGGAGAATCTACAATTATCTGATAATACAATGGTTCGAAGGGCAGCAACAGAATATGTTTGTGTAATTTGATGTTTTGTGAATCAATATTTGAGAGGTATGGTGACTACCAGAAATCCAAAAATAAAATAAAATTGTTGGTAGCATTATCAGATGTGAAAGATTTCGAGACTAGGAGAGCGGCAAGTGGATGTTTACCAATCTTGTCAACAAATCAAGATGTGTGCAAGATGATATTGGAAAGACCAAGAGATTTACTAATTTTAAAAGATTTGTTGGATGAGCAATCTGTTGAATTGCAACATCGAAGTGTCGAGTGTTTGAAAAATATAGCATCCACAAATAAATAAAGAAATGGTGGAAAAATTGGTCGAGTCAGGTGTACATAAAAAATTAATTGAATTGGTTAAAAGGAAAAATAAAGAGCAGGTGGTAGCAGCGACTTGTGTATAAACATTAAAAGAAATTTCAAAACATGTATAAATTTACAACAACTATTTAAAAGTTTTATTAAAATTATATATATAATATAAGCTATGATATAATAAGCATAATACAATTTATATTTAATTATTTATTACAAATTTTTAATTGCAAGTGTAAGTGATTAATAAAAAACATTCAATTTAATTGATGGTGATTTTTTTGCCAGTGTGTTCAGCTTTAGGAATTTTAACCTCAAGAACGCCATTCTCGTATTTAGCAACGATCTCATCAGCTTTCACATTACGTGGAAGCGCAAGTGTACGAGAGAAAGAACCCCAACGACGTTCTTGAATATGAGTTGTTCCTCCTTCTTCAGATTTTTTTTCTTCTTTAGTTTCACCAGAAATATAAAGTGTATTATCCCGAATATCAATATTAATATCTTCTTTTTTAATTCCCTAAAATATATAGAAATAAATAAATAATGAATATATATGTGTGTAAATAGTTGACATATTCTCATATCAAATATATATACTTACGGGTAATTCAGTGCTTAAAGTATATTCTTTTGCATCTTCGTGTAAATCCAACAACGGTGCCCAAGAACGAATTCCACGACTTGCACTACGCTGGCTAACTTCGTTTAAATCTTTGGCAAAATTCTCAAATACACGATTAACTGAATTTTCAAAACGTTCTAAATCTTTGTTGGAATGGAAAAGAGCCATGATTTAATTTGAATAATGATGATTTATTATTTTTTGTTTAAAAAGTTGTTTTATTTTATTATTTTATTATTTTATTATTTTATTATTATTTTGAAATTGTTGTTGGTGAGAATTTTACTCACTTTTATATCGTAATCAAAAAAACTTCTACAATAATCTCGTGTTTTCTTAAAATAGTAAATTTTCTAGTGATTTCCCGAAGAATACATCATACGATCATTCCAGATTTGAATTTTCACACATGCACGTGCCTGTCAAGTAATTAAAGGGCGTATGTTGTACAAAAAAAATCATTAAAAATTTTAAAATCTGGAAATGGAATGTTTCATAGTCGGATAAACCAGTTAAATCATGCAATAATTACGTCAAAAAAAAAAGACTAAAAAATTAGAATGGTTAAAACAATGTCACTAACGTGCCACTATTTTAAACTCTGATTTTTCCATTATTGCATGTTCTGCATGCAATAACTCATATTTACTATAATAAAAACAACAAATAAGTACTATTAGAGAACTGGTGCAAGAGGAACAAAAATAATACGTTTAGATCTGGTTCTTCTGCAACTGTTATTACATCATCAACCAAATGTAAGTAAATTATATTCTCTTTGAATGGGAAATAGGCAAGAAACAATTGTTTTAAGAATTATTTAACGCTGTAATTAATATTTGGCACTATAACGGATTTTTCTATACTAATTAAGGTATTGGTATGTGTGTATGTACAGATTTGGTAATTCACTGCAACAAATATGTTGCAAATTTATTTCCAATGATGGAACACATGTAACATGCATGATTTTCCAAGTGAAAAATGATTTTTGAGATCACGCCACTATCATAATAATAAATAAATAAATAAATAAAAATTGAACGCACCACACAATGATTTCATAAAATAATTGCACAGTGAATGAACTGATCATTTATATTAACGTTAAAAATTTTTTTTAAAGCCACAATAAAATTTTTTATTTGATTGCCTTATATAACAGCTAATCCTCAACTTTCTAATGATAGATTAACTACTGGTAATCATTTTGTAGAATGGAAGGAAGAAAGATATTCATTTATGTTTTGCAGGTACTTATTATCGAAAACTGAGCAAAGACCTCCATTATCTAATTTTTGGTGTGCATCATGTAATGTTCCATTATGTTGTAATAGAAATTGCTTCAAAATTTATCATGAAAAGGAAAATATTTATTCAAATAAAGACTAAATTATGGATTATCTAAAATAAGAAATGCGAGAAAAAAATTTTATATGTAAAAATTGCAAAAGCTTGAAAATCTACTAATAAAAAAATATTCCTAGTTTTGAAGAATAATAATGCCATAAGTTTTAATAAAGGTCACTGTATTCTATAAAAAATTTTTATGTTTGCTATGCAAATTATTACTATTAAAATAAAAATAAATTGCGTGGAATAAAATTACATAATATGTATGAATTATAATAATGTGCAAAAAAAAAGTGAAATAATATAATATTTGTTTGGATTAGATAATGAATGACTTTTGTCTTTAATTGAATTGTCACAAACGAACCACTGATATAACATGACCAGGGAGGATGGATCCCTATTATACGTGTGGCCGAACCTCTCTGCCGAAATCTGGAACCCCGTCGAATTTAAAATCCCTGGCCGAAACCTTTTTATATAAAACTTGTATTAGAGTTCCTATTCGAATAATAATAAGGTTTATTCGAATTATTTATTTCGTTCATTGAATAAAACGAATAATTCAAATAAGAATTTGTTATTACGAATAGAAACTCTAACTTGTATGATCAAAACGCAAAAATTTAAATTAAAATAAATAATATATAATTATTATCAATTTCTCTTGATATATTGCTAGCCAATGTTTCGATATCAAAACCGTCAATATTATTCTGTGAAACTGTACAACGGCTTGTCTCCTTTCATCAACAATTATCTCATCAGTTTACAAAAAAAAAAATCCATTGGTGTGGTTTACATTTGGAACCTTTGAGAGTTTCGGCCCTTATATAAAGGTTTCGACTAAGGTTTAGATTTTAGTCGGGAGTTCAACTTTTGGATAGGTTTTCAGTTTCAAATAGGAACCCTTTCAACTCGAAACTGGCCGGAGCCCAAAACTGAAACTAGGACCGAAAGTCTGGGTTTCGACCACATGTATAATTTGCATGTTCAACTAACATTACCTCTTACATGTTGAACAAAACTTTTTGAAATTGAACTTAGACAGGAATGTAAATTAGTATTATCCAAAACATCAGACGAAATAGGTTCAATAGCTGTATTAGAAACCTTATATCACTTCCAGATATACCAAAATCCCTTTAATTATCAAAGGCTTCACCACAACTATTATTACCTAATGAATGGTTTACTATTATTATTATTACTGTTGTTATTATTATTATTACATTATTGTTATTATTATTATTGCCTACTTACTAATGGTTCATTGTTACTATCACTTCTACTACTAATATTATTAACGCTTAATTCGCCGCCATTATTATTATTTAATTGTTATTATTATCTTTTATTCGACTACGAGTATTGTGTTTTTGGGGGATGAATGGAAATGAGTTAAGAGAATAATTTTTTATCCAAAAAAAAATATCAGTCGGCTAAGCCGTTTAAAAAATTCCTTGGCTGATTTTTTTCTTAGTAGAAAAAAATATTTTAAAAATTTTAGTCTTCATTACTCAAACTCTTGGTCAATGCGGAAAAGAAAAGAAAAGAAAGATGCGAAAAGTTGGACATGATGATAGTTAATATTTACAACAATCACACAAGTATATATATAATTTATTCAAATAATTTTTAATAAAAGTTGTTTTTATAGGGAAACCTAAAAGTTTTTTAGAAATAAATTATGATTCATTAATTATTGATAACTAAAATTTATAAAATAATTGATTCATGTTAGAATTCTTCGTTATTTACTGAAATTAATTCTACTCTTTCATTGTATGAAATCAATATTTTCAAATCTTCACAAATGTTGCAACAAGCAGAAATTATTAATGATACCAATTCAACGAAAACCTCCACCTTGATTTTAATAAGCCAAATGATTGCTCAACCTTTATTTTGTTCTCGAGCGACATAAATTAAAATAAGTTCCTTGCCTTTGTAAATTCGGGTATCCTCCATCACCCAAAAGATGAAATTGTGGTGGTATCATACATCTGCCGTCTAAATTGTTTATAGAATTGTTGTTTCTATGTTATGATAAATCGGAATATTCTACTGTCATGTGGAAACCGGGAAATATCAATAAATTTTTTATTACTATCAACAACTGCTTGTAGTACTATGGAATAATAATAACCTTTAAGTTAAAGTAATTGATTACTTAGGTGGTGGTTTAATTTTGATGTGGCTCCTATCAATTGCATAAATACTCTAGGAAAATTGGCCAATTTTTGAATTCATTACTTATGTTCAAAAATCATTTTCATTTATAAAAAAACTTTGTTGTTAAAAATAATACATCAGGAAAGCGAGACCACGGACAATTATAATTGATCCACTTTAAAAACCATGAGTAATGAAATTTTGTCAGAATAGATGGTTCTCGTTATCTACAACTGATGTTATTTAAAAAAAATGATATTTAATGTTACTTTTTACTTTTATATATACTCCTTGTGTTAGCATGGAAATGGTGAAAATGGGTTTGATAGATCTATAAGAACTTGGTGTCAAAAAGATGCCTCTCTTCAAAAGCTGCGTTTTTAATTACGTTGTTTGATGCCATTAATTCTGACAAATCGTGCTATTATATTATGTAAAATTTACAACATA